GCTTCTTGACCTAGCGTTTGGAACAGTCACCAGTCTCTTGCACCACCGTTTCTTGCATTGGCTAATCAAACTCCGAAGCATTGTATTCGGCAGCGACATCCCCCGACTGAACAACCAAAGGGGGGATCTCTTGACTGCTTTCAACGACAGCCACCTTCTTCATTGCTGCCAGATGTTCAGCGTTTCTTTTCTTGGCTAGTTGAGCAAGCGATAGTGATTCGCTAGCCATGTCTTTGGCCTCGGATCCGGGCAAATCGACCAAATCAATGAATATATCTTTTTCTAAGCTGTCAATCACAATTCAGTCGAAGAAGGCCGCCAACTGTGATTCACCGTCAAGATTGTCACCAGAGCCAATTTGAACAAAAGAAACTCTTGGCTCGCCGATTCTTTCCTTTTTGGATAGACGAATGTCCGAATCTGCGGCAACACTATCAGTTATATTTTGCTTGGCGTTTTGTTCGTCACCCTAATGAACACCTTGTTCAGCATCTTGAGGGCCATCTCCATTACTTGATTCGCTATCAAATAAATTCCGAACCCCGATTTCTCTCAAGTGGACGAAGTTAGGGAAAACAAGCGCTGTAAGTTGTTGCTCACCATGAGGAATTGGAATATGTTCTGCCGCCGAAAATGTTGAATAGCAAGGATCATATCTCAACAAAATGTGAGCGCCACGTCCCTGACCTTGAAGATTTTGGGGACCAGAAAAGTCAAGGACAGCCTTTACTTGGCTTAAGACAGTCTCGTCTATTGAAGTAAGTAACCTCTTCAAATTGGTACCTGCATAATGCAAAGGAGGTGAGAAGTTTGCAAGAGTTGAAATGCCAATTAACACTAACACTTGCAAAAAATCTATTCGGCTACCTAGGTCACCATTCCGTCTAAGAACTGGAATCGAACGGTCCTCTCCCATACTGAATTTCCAGTTGCCTTGCACGATAACCATTACGCCATCTGCCCTCTTGCCGGAGCTGGCAAGCATGGTGACTAGGTGGTGGTTAGTGTCTTTGGCCCTAAGAAAGTACCGCCCTGGCCGGCCAGAGGATTTAGCAAGGATGTAGCAGTGCCCAATAACAGGAATTCCTAAGTCTAATCTTAATCTACGATTTAATTCTACAACTCCCATGATCACCAGGTAAAAGTTGACATTGGAATAAGATGGAATCAAACCCCAATAGTGGAGGACATATCTGAGTAAGGGATGAAGTGGAAAACGAACTCCACCTTCCGCGATTGCCAGTAGGGGAAAGACGTTGATGTTGGCATTAGTCATTTCCATACTAACCTCATCATCCCCAATGAGAGTAAGATGGACATTGTCAGGGATGGAGAACTGGTGACGAAAGGCGGCTATTCTATCTTCCGAAATGTGGGCTTTCAAATGATTTTCCATAAGACACGACTAAGGAAATACAGGAGGCGAGAACAACGAGTGGACAGAAATGCAAAACAAGACCAAAATAATGGGAAGCTTAGAAAACGTACAAGTCCAAACGAGAGTTTCACGAACAATGAGAAAAGCGAAGCAGTCGCTCAAAGAGCTTTGAAGGTTGGAAGTTGCAGGAGTGAAGTCTCTTTGGAAATGGAAGGGCAAAAAAGACGTATTTCAATCGCATTTAATGTTGCGGGTTATGAAGAGACGGGAAAGCTGTAATCATCACATACCGTGTCACGTTGTTCTTCTTATTACAGGTATCATATTGAGGATTTTCTCCAAGAAATCACCAGATATAGAAAGAATATTTCCGAAAACCATATCACCACCTTTATAATGTGTAATAAGAATAGAGTGGATGAAATTCCTTTATGCCTACATCGTGATAACAAACTGGTCAATCCTCGCTATTTCTTTACTCATTCCTATCACTTTATTTTTTTTTCCTACTCTCTTATATATATTTCTCTCTTGGAAGACCCAACAATTGATAACGACAACCAAGTCAGTCTCTAAGCTTGTTTCCATGAACACCACAATAGATTTATTTAAAAATATTAAATTGTCCTGCAACATAACAACATAAAAAAAAGAAAAATGATCCATTTTTACCAATAAGAGTATCTAAAGAAGTGCTTTTATAGGATAAAATTGTAAGAATATAACACTGTCAATAAAAAAATATGAAGATACCATATGAAATACCTAACTATTGATTGCAACAACCAAGTCTTCTTTTATATTTCTAGGATTGTTTCCACAAAACATCATAAGATTAATTTAAAATTATTAATTGTCCTCAAACAGAACAATATAAAAAAATGACAAGATGCCATATGAAAGACCCAATTATAAATAAAAAAAATCAAATCTTCTTTCATATCTCTTAAAATAAATAAATAAATAAATAAATAAAAACAAAAGATACCATATGAAAGGCTATTGATAGAAACTCAAATCTTCTTTCATAAAAAAATACAAGATGTCATAAGAAAAATCCAGCTATTGATAACAATAACCTAGCTTTTATTGTATCTCCGGTGTAGTCACCGCATCCACCGGCATTCATCTATCACCGCTCATTCTACCACCATCGTCTAACTATCGTTGTTTACCATCACCGACAACCTCTCTCGGATCTATGCATAGATCTAGCATGTTTTACTTTCTATCTAGTCAATTTGTTTCATTATTGTTGATTCGTGCATAAATTTGATGCAAGAGTTTTTAAATCTCTTCTCCCATCTCCTTTCTCCCTTTTTCTCTCTTTTTGCTATTTTTTCCATGTCTCTGTAATTTTTTATTTTTTATTTTTTTTTTGTTGAAATACAAAATTTCTTTATCTCTATTTTTCTTTGTGTTGAAACACATATCTTGTGTTGAAACATAATTTTTCTGTCACTGTGTTTAACCACAAAATTTTCTCTGTATCCTGTGTTTGAACCCAATTCTCTCTATGTTTTTGTTTGTTTGTTTGTTTTTTTTTTTTTTTCCTATGTTGAAACACATTTTTTTCTGTCATTGTGTTTTTGGGGGTTTAAAGTTTTGTCTTCTTCCTTCGTATCGAATTTTTTAAGGATATCTTTTTTGAAAAAATTACCAAAAAATCTTAAGAATTGACCTTTATAACAAAATAATTTTAATTTTAATTTTATCAATTTAAATTTAAAATTTTTAATTATTCTTAATTTATTTGAGTATTTTTATTAAATAAAATTGGTATTAATTTTACTTAACAAAAATAAAAATAAAAAAATGATTAAATTCAAACAAATCAAAATATTAAGGTTTAAATTAATTAATAAAATTAAAAATTAAAGGTTTCTTTTTTTATAAGTGTATAACATGAAGTTTTTTTTTTTTTTTTTTTTTTTGTAATTTTCCCTTATCTTTATGGATTTTTTAATTATGTATATATTTTGAAAAATGGTGACATCTAATCTCATTTTTTATTTTATTTATTTTTATTTCTAAATACAAGTCTCCAAAAAATAGAAGAATGCATTAAGGATAAGTACAAAAAAATTTATTGAAAAATCCAATACACATCACTATTATTAAAATATCTTTAATGGGTAATTTAATATTTTAAACTTTAAAATGATATTAGTTTTTATTTAAATGTAGTTTTTTAATAAAATTAGTATTTTTAGTTATTCTAATTGTTAAATTTATTTTTATTCACGCAAAAATTATATCCATAACTGTTGATAAAAACAATATGCCAAAGTTATTTTTAAGAGTACACAAGCGCTATCTTTTTTCTTCTTTTTTTTTGAACATTAGTGAAACATCCCTCTTCAACTTTGTGTAGTATGAGAAAGTCCAAGATATTTTTATTATTAGTTAAGGTCTCTCAATATTTTCACAAAAAATTCAATTCAGAAAAATTTTGTCCGACTTGGAGAAATTTCTCTGTGAAAATATTGAGAAACCTTAATTCCTATGAAAATATTGTATATCCTTTATCTTATAAAGTCTTAATATTAGGGACCTTAAAAAGAAAATTCCTTTTTTTTTTTTTTTTTTTAGATAGGGAGTATACAAGCTATCTTAATAAATCTTTTATTTTAAAATAATAAAATCAAGAGCTCCCTTGCATTATTTTTTATTTATAATTTTTATGTTTGTAATGTTTATTTATAATCATCTTTATTAATTTGTTATTAATGATTGATTTAATAAGTTATATTAATACATTTATTTATTTTATTACAACAATAGTATCTTTTATTTATTTATTTATTATTTTGGTTAATTTGTTATTAATGCTTTGATTTAAATAGAATATATATTCTCTTACTTGAGACCATAGTTATATGTTAATTAAAAGATCCATGGTTATGTGTGAGAGTATAAAATATCTAAACTGACTCATCATTTCAACATTTTGATTAAAAAAAGGTATCAACAAATTTTGATTAAAAAAAGGATCCAGCTTGTCTCAAGTTGAGATCAAGACTGGACCCGTCTAGTTCGGCCCATGGGATCTATTTTTTAGGCTCGTTTTAATAATCCAAACCGTTGAATGTGTAGAACTCGTTGAGTACTACATGCCTGTAAAAAATCACGTTGATCGGATATCAATAGATATGTGATCAAATCAGTTTTGTATAAAAAAAAATGGACGGTGAAACAATTAACGATTGATAAAAAACTGTTTTGTTCACATAGCTATCGATATCCGATCAACGTGATTTTTTACAGGCATAAAGTAATCGACGAGTTCTACATATTGAACGGTTCGGATTATCAAAACGGGACCCGTGATGGACCCCTACGGACCCAACAGCACGGTCCAATCCGATTTTGGACTTGGACCAAAGCCACTGCCTTAAAAAAAATATAACAACAGAAAACATTGCACAGCTTCTTAACGCATGGAAAGCGTTTCAGAACGAAACATTTGGATTTAAAAATGGACCCTTTTTTATAAGGCCAATAAAATGGTACCGCATATGAGTTCCAAGCTATCGATTAGTTGGTGTGTCCCACGGAAGATCGACAACACCACACCAATCAACGGTTTGGATCCCGACACTGATTATAAAGGCAAGCAATATGACACAAACCAATCAAATTAACCGAATTAGTTTTTCTGTTCCTAGAACAACTGCTAATAAATAGGATCAAAATAATAGCTGAGAACAACTATAGGTCAAAAGAATACCCAACCAAATCCCTGATAACTGAACAAACTTTAAAAATGACAGAAAAGTCTAAACAAACTGAAAATAAAAATAATAATCCTAATACCAATTCCCAGATCTTCAAACTCTCTCTCCATACCAAATCCCAACCCTAAAAAGTATTTCAGCAACCAATTTGCCACCCCCCACAAAAATGAAACAGATCCTAGAAATTTTTGGAGAAAACCCCAACAATCAATCAATCACAGCTCATGAACCCTAAAAATAAATAACACTAGGCCTCTACAAATGCATATGCATATATTAAAGAAGAAATGTATATACCATGCCAAATTGGGCTCGCTTCATTGGTTCAAGGACAGTGAGCCGAGCTGATCACCAACATTGGGTCCTGATGATGCTAAATGGAGGACATCCAAAGCCTCAGAAACTTTCTTCTTCAGAGCATCTGGAGCCTCGATAAGATGGAGAACCTCGGTTTGGTCCATCTCCAGCAACATGCCTGTCACTTTTCCAGCATGGTCAGGCTCAACCCTCTCCACTAGTGGAAATAGCTGTTCCCCCAACATCTGTCATTTTGACAACAAGGCCATTGCAAACATTCAGAATCAAGAACCAACATTTCAAAATAGTTTTCAGATTTTTATGCCATGGAAGCTGAAATGAAGAGACAAGATTAAAAAACTCACCATGCGTTGATTCTCTGGCGTAGCAGAAGCCAGAGCAGAAGCAAGTGTTGACATAGGCACTGGCCCAGGACGATGAACATCCAATGGAGTCGTTGACATTCCCGAAACATCAAAAGGCAATGGCATCATTGGAGCCATGAGACCTTGAGGAGCAATAGATGGGTCCATACCATTTCGTGTGCTGGCCACATATCTTAAGCCTTGGTTGGCGTTTCGATGCATCAACTAATTTAAAATAACAACAAAAATACATACAACATCATTAGAGAGACCACGAAATTCAAAAACAGAACACAAGAGTCTTAACAGACATGGGACAAGGACATTCGTAAATCAGTCACTGGGAATTCTTGCTAAAGTTTTTTTATATCAGCCTTCCAACAAGGCTGGAATTTTTAAAAAATTACAAGTGTATGCCATTTTTTATATCAGCCTTCCAACAAGGCTGGAATTTTTAAAAATTACGAAGTGTATGTCATGTTCGATCAAATTCCAAGGCCAAAGACCCTTGATTATATAAATGCATAAAGCATGAGGAGGAAGAAATGAAAAAACAACGCTTAGAGACAACATAGAGAACAATAATGTACCTGCTGGTGCTGGTGCTGCATCTGCAGAGGACTCCCACCTCTCCTTGCTCCAACACGCTGTCCGGTTTGTCCTTGCCTCTGAAGTTGGAATGGCATAATGAAGTTGGGGGAAACACCAGGGCGCATACCAGGCAAGAGTTGCTGCTGGAATCCATAGCCAGCAGGCTGAGGAGGTAGAAGACCAGGCGCACCTTGACCAAAATACAACTGCTGAGGAGGAGCAAGCCTAGGCAACCCCGGGTGGAATCCAGGCATCCCTGTAGGCAACGGTGCCATTCCACCTGGTGCTTGTACATGAGAAAAATGTGCCTGAAAATATAATAAAAATAAATGAAAAATATATATTAAGAACTATGCTCGACACAGGGGACTGAGATCTTGTGGGCATTTGTTATAGTGCTCCTTCAAAGACATCATTTTCAACACCAAAAGCATGTATGCTGGAAAACCATAAAAACCTTACTTTTTATTATATATATAATATTAGAAGCAAATGTACCAATACAGCAAGTAAACAAAAGGTTAGGTGGGCCACACATGCAAGCCTTGTGTCTTTATTGGTTTGTTTGTTGGTATATTAGTGTTCCCAGCATTAATGTAGTATTATTATTAGGAAATCTATCAACAACAGTATAACAAAACAAGAATGCCTCACTTCACTTCATTAAAGATATCTGATCTCATCAGACCTCACTGGGCCAGGCGAAGGGGAAAGAAGGGATGGGTGGTCCGGGAACGACAATGGGAGAGGGCTTGAAGTCCCTTCCCCACACCTATTTGTTGCCGGAAACACCATACTCTTTGTTAGGAGGAGCACCCACTCCATGTATAACAATCATTTTTTATCTACAGACTAAACTTCAAGATTGCAGAAACTAACTTCAGTTACATATGATACTACCCTTCGAAAGGGAACAAACTTTCAATTGCACCAAGATCTCAAAATTATTTTTTATTATCGTATCCATCATCAAGGACACAAGAAGAAGAAGAACCTATATCCATTACTATAAGATATTCAATGAAGTAAAATCACCTGTAATTGTACCCTCCTTTCTTCTTTGCGCTGGGCCACAGCAACATACAAAGGTTTTCGACCAATCATCTTACCATTCATTTCATTCAACTGAACAGGATAGACAACAATCAATAAATCATAATTCATACATGAGTAGACAAACTCTGTGGTTGAAACGTAGAAGAGAAAAATCCGCCAAGTTCAAAAGGAGGAGGAGGCTACTTACAGCTTTTGTAGCTTCCTCAGGGGTAGTGAAGGCCACAAAACCAGAGCCCTTGCTCACCCCTTGTGAATCAATCATAACCTGACAAAATTGTTACAAAAACATAAATACAAAAAGGTTACTCCGTCACAAATTACATAATCCAATGCTCCCCTGATTCTGAAGTTGTGTCATGTTTGGTCTAGAATAAAAATTTTATATACATCTTATTTTCCTACAAAGTAGGAAGTTACAAAGAAACAAAAGAAAGTTATTGAACCAACAGACGAAGAGAGAGAATAGGAAGTCATGGTGGAAAAGTAGTACAACGTAGTAGATAAATTGGAAATTTTGAATGGAATGCATGGTTGGAACAGTCCAACAAAAAAAAAAAAAAAAATTGTCACAGAGGGAGCAGTTACACAATGGATATAGATCACATGCATTGCACATAACAACCCTCTGGTATATATATGTATCAGAAAATTGTAACAACAGCGTATTAAAGGCCCTAATCATAAATTTTACATGAAACACTATACCTTGCAAGATGTAATGGTTCCAAACTCAGAGAATAACTCCTTCAGTTTTACATCATTTATGGTGTCATCAAGATTCTTGAGATATAGGTTAGCACCTTGTAATTTTTCAAATCTACTGTTTCTTTCCTGTTCAAATTTGGCTCTCAATTCTGCCTCCCTTTCCGATTTCCTCTGAGCCTTCCCCACATACAAAACTTTGTCATCATTATTTAAAGATGTGCCATTCAAGTTCTCTACTGCAGCAGCAGCGTCATCGGGGTTCTGGAAATTTACAAAACCAAAACATCTGGACTTCCCGTTCCCATCCCTCATAACAACTGCACTGGTTATGGGACCGTAACTGCCAAAAAATTTCTTAAGCTCCTCATCAGTAGTATTTTCAGAGAAATTCTTCACATAAATGTTGGTGAATTTCGGTGATCCATTTCCTCGACTCCTTTCTTGGCGACGAACAAAAAGGCCAACATAAACTTGTTTATCGTTAATCAACATGCCATTTAACCGTTTGATTGCGTTTTGTGCAGCTTCCTCCTGTTCAAACTGCACAAATCCATACCCTTTTGATTGACCATTGGCATCGATGGCTACCTTGCAAGAAATCACAGTGCCAAAGGCAGCAAAAGTGTCGTTCAATGCTTTGTTATCTATGGATGTGTCCAAGTTCTTGATGAACACATTAGCATATCCACTCTTCCTAATGCTAGGATCTCGATGAGAGAACATAATCCTGATAGGTCTCCCATTGACAAGTGAGAAATTCAAAAGCTCCAGGGCATTAGCAGCTGCAATTTACAGAATACAAACAGGGTCAAACTCATAACAAAAAATAACATAAAAATGATTCCAAAGAAACATTGGTAACTAATGTCCAATCTATTGAAATTTAAAATTTTCAAAATTTGAAGGTTGTATGCATGCATGCATCAATAAATCTTCAATAAATAGTTAAAGACATCATTGCACACATTTACTAGAAGTAACAAGTCCCTGAAATAGACCCACATCGTGACGACCCTTAAATGTTTATGATGTCAGAAAATGAAAATCAAAAGTTGACAAATAACTCGCAACAATCAAATTTAGTCACTATATACTTCCAAATGACAAGCAAAAGCCACTCGAAACACATACAAAGACACAATTATACAAAATTTCTTTACCAAATTATGTAAATTTTGGGTACTTGTGTTTCAAGCATAATCATCTAACAGAATGACAAAGTAAATCTCGGAGATTTGAGACCAGAAAAATAGATAACACTCAAAAGAAAAAAAAAAAATTTACAGAACAAATCAATAACATAACAAACTACTCAACACAAAGCCACTGCACAGAACTAATCACAGCAACAACACACTTTTAAAACAATGCACAATCACTGCAACCCCTTTTAACATAAAATAATTAACAACTAAAATCATTTTCATTTTCATCAAGACACCAACATGAAATGGAAAAAAAAAAAAAAATCTTGATCAACGAAACACATTTCTAGTATGTATCTGATGTTTCACTAAGATCAATGTGAATCAAAATCTAACCGATCAAGCAATCGAACAAACAAATCAAAAAAAAGATTAAAAAATAAAAATTTGAAAATGGAAATCAAAGTCTAACCATCTTGGGCAGAGCCGAAATTGACGTAAGCGTAGCCGAGAGAGGTTCGTCTGGCTTGATCCCTACAAACCCTAACAGACACAACTTGAGCCACTTGACTGAACAGATCATACAGTTGGCCTTCGTTCACAGTCGGGTCGAGATCGCCCACGTAAAGCGACGCATTCGCGAACCCTCCTCCGCCGGCGGCCGCCGCTTCCGCCGCCACCTGAACTTGTTGTTGAGTCGGAATCGCAGTCGCCATTACAGTGTTCTTCTGATCAGAGCAATTTTTCAATCAATGTACCAAAAACAGAGATAGGAAATGGATTTTTAGGGGAAGGGTTGGAATGATTGTGTCAATGGGGGTTGGTTTTGGGGAATTTTTTAGGGATTGTGATCTGATTGTGAAGATCAGGGGATGAGAAAGGAAGAGAAAATGGGAAACACAAGTGTGTATGTATACATATATGTGTGTGGGTTTTTGAAGAGAGAGAGAGAGAGAGAGAGAGAGTAGGGACTGTTGCGAACCGGTTCCTTAGTACTGAGGTAGCGGTTGAGGATACGCACGTGTGGATTTGGTGACGTGGAATGCGACAATATTATTATCATGCTTTTTTGTGTCCAACTTCGAAGGATGTTTGTTGTGCTCTTTTCGGAGTTCAAGCATGTTTTGGTCATTCCCTTTTTTTTAATCAACAATGATAGAGACCACTAATTTTGAAACTCTAAAAAGACCACTAATGACATAGCATTCAATAAAAAAAGAAAAAAAATACAACACTAAGGCCAAAACATCAAATCATTCCTGGTGGAGCCCACTGCCACATCATTAGTGATAGCACTAATTAGTGCTCTCACTCATTTTCCTTTTTTAATTCAAAAATGTTAGAGGTCCTAAAAATTTTACTAAAAATTTTACCAAATATTTTACATGTGTGTGGGATCATATGGGATCCATATTGTGTGGGTCACACACTCATGTGAGACATTTGGTAAAACTATATGAGACATTTGACAAAATTTTTGGTAGAATATTTGGAGTCTCTAACATTACTTTTTTTAATTTAAGAAAACACTAATATAAAAATTCAGAAATTATATTAATCATTTAGATTTATTTTATATGTGAATCTCATATTTTATCAATTCAATCTCCCATATAAATACCTATTTCTAAGTAAATTCTGGATTTCAAATTTTGGGACCTTAATTTTTCTGTTAAGAAAATATTTGACAACTGATTAAAATAATTACAAACTTTGGATTTATCAAAAAAGCTCCCTTTAAGAAAACACTAATATAAAACTTCAGAAATTATATTAATGATTTAGATTTATTTTATATGTGAATCTCATATTTTATCAATTCAATCTCCCATATAAATACCTATTTCTAAGTAGATTCTGGATTTCAAATTTTGGGACCTTAATTTTTCTGTTAAGAAAATATTTGACAACTGATTAAAATAATTACAAACTTCAAAGTCATATAAATATTTAAAAAATTTAAAGATTCTTTTATTTCTATGTATTTTTATTTTATTTTTTTTGCATATTTTTTTATAAAAAATTATTTTCAAACATTTTTATTTTCACCTCTAAAATAATCACTCCCTTCAAGAAACAAATCTCAAGTTAGATATATTATAAGGTGGTTTATTTGTTTGAAATGATTTAAATAAGTATGTTTTCGACTTTTTATGAAAAAATATGCAGAAATATAGAAAGGTGATTTGACTCAAAAAAATAAAAATAATAATAATAAATGCTAATATAGATCATACCAAACAAGCTCTTAATTTTGAAAAAATTTTGGGTGCTAGTAGGGTATCATGTGGCATGCCACATGGTACTTTCAACCAATTGCAAACACCATGGCCCTCTATGTTGTCTCCCCATCACCCAACACATAAACATAGCCCCCACTCTCTCAACCAATGAGAGAAGAGGCAGGTACCACATGGCACCTACCCTCTTTGCATCCAAAAATTTCTCATTAATTTTACATAGAGAATATATTCTTTTTTAACTTTTTAGGATATATTCACCCTCCCCCAAAAAAAAAAAAAAAAAAAACTTTTTAGGATACATTTTAACAAAATTTTATATCAATCTATATAATACTTTGGATTAATGACAAATCACAATATATATGATAATTTATTTTTCAAATAAATAACAAAAGTGAGTTAATATGTTTTACTTATAAAAATTTTACTAGGTGATTAGTTTTGAAGTATCATGGAGGCAATATAATATGGTGTTGCAAAACTAGTGAATAATTATTTTTTAAATATTAGAGTAATATCATAAAAACAATGGCAAATTACACCTAGTTTTACTTTGGAATAAAGCTTCGTAGCTCGAAAAAAAGAGGCTCGAATGGCCCGACCTCTCTCTCTCTCTCTTTCTCTCTTTCTCTCTTTCTGTCTCTTTTTTCTCTATCTCTCCTCCTCTGCCTTGGTCTTCTTCTTCTTCCTTTTGAACTGTGACGGTGATGGCGGCGTGGGTTTGCGACGGTGGGCTCTCTCTCTCTCTCTCTTATATATATATATATATAGCTCTGTGTTATATATATATATATATATATATGTGTGTGTGTATATACAAATCTAACTAGCCAAGGTGTGTTAAACATGTTAGCCCATGTTGTGTGTATATATTTATAGATCTGTGTATATTGACATTTTTTTTGGTTGACCGGTGCTTTTCTCTTCTGTTCCCCTCTCTTTTTTTCTTCTTCTCTCTTCTTCCATTTTGTCTTTTTCTTTCGCCTCTCTATTACTAGTTTCAGAGAGAGGGAAAAAAAATGCCAAATGTTTGGTTTTGATTTTGATTTTGGGTTTGGTTTTGATTTTGAGGGTTTTATTTGATTTGATTTTAGATTTTGGGAAGGAAGAAGAAAAGGGGAACGAAAAAATAGGGGATCCTGTGACGGCCCAAATTTAAGGACATCATAATAAGATTTAGAAACTTAAAATCAATATTGCCACCAAGATTACTAACATCCATTAATTAACAATCCAGAATTTAAAGTTCTTACATCACAACTTAGTCTTAGTACATGTGGGGATATATTTTCTGAGTACCAACACGTGGCAAGGTGACGCCGACGTGTCAGCTGAGGTGCCACGTGTCTTGGTCGTTGTGCCGAGGTCATCTCGGCTAGACCAAGGTTGCCTCCTAAGATATAGGAATCCGAGATAAGCGGCTAAAGGACAAGAGTTCTAGAATGAAGAGGGAACTCAACTTGGATATGGACAAGAGTCTTAGATTGGGAGAAGACTTCAGTTTGGGTAAAGATAAGACTTTATCCTAATCCCACTGGGAGTCCCAGATTAGCAGTAATCCTAAGTCCATTAGGGCCAGGCTCCTATTGGGACTAGGATTGTATTGGCTATAAAAGAGAGGCACCCCCATGGGTCTAAGGTATGCTTTTGATACTCAAGCTTGTGAGTTTAGTACTTGATTTATCTTTGAGAGATATACTGACTTGATCGTCGGAGTGCCCCCGGGTGGTCGAAACCATCGCGGGATTCTTATATTTCTGTTGTAGGTCAGTCAGGTGCCATCTATTCTGCCAGTGCTCTCCAGCTGGTTACTAAGCGGGCAGTGTGGTCGAAAAATCACCCGTACAATTTGGCGCCGTCTGTGGAAAAAAAAGAAGAATAGATGGCCAATGACGGACAAAAGGATCAGATTAGAGACAACGCTCCTGCTGGGAGTGGGAGACCTATCGATCTCGACGTTGAAGGGGACGACCGCAACACAGAAACTCGTGACCAGAGTCACGGAGTGAAAGACGCCAGCCAGGAAGGTGACGCACCAAAGACAACAAATCGAAGCGGATACTACAATGAAGATGACCTCCAGGTATGGAAGGATAGATACCTGCGGAGGAACGAAGACCCTTCCAGAAGGGATGCAAAGACAGGGGGCATGAGCGCTCCCAAGGAGATAGCTTTCAAGTATAGAAGAGCTCAACCTGAGTAAGCAAATCCCAGATCCCAGATCCCAGAAGACATGATCTCGGCCTAGATGAGTAGGTCCGTGAAAAGAAGAGCTCAACCTGATGAGCAGATCCAAGATTCCAGAAGATAAGATCTCGGCACCTGAGTCCGAGAAGAGAAGAGCACAATTAGTAGATCTCAGATCCCAGAAGATAAAAAGGAAACACACAAGATCAGACTAAAGTTGGCCAGAATTGAGAAGTATGCTAGGGCCAAAGAGGACATGCCGGGAACAAAGGCGTCAGAACAAGAAAAGAGAAACGTCTCGCCAATGCGAGACCGAAAATCAAACTCAGGTTGGAGCCAAGTAAGATCAATAGAGAAACCAAGGCCGACAACCTCGGCTTGAATTAAACCTCGGCGACAAGGTCGAAGCTACATGTATGATGAGAACCCAAGTGGATTTTAAGTTCACACTGGGGGGGCAGAGAGAAGAAGAATGCGTTTACCACTTGTTGAAATTTGTAGCAATTTACAAGTTGGTTAAACCAATATGATGCTTAACCGAAGTTAAGCCGAGATAATACTTAACTGAAGTTAAGCCGAAATAATGCTTAACCGAAGTTAAGCCCAGATGATGTTTAACCGAAGTTAAACCGAGACGATACTTAACTGAAGTTAAGCCGAGATGATGCTTAATTGAAATTAAGCCGAGATTATTCCTTAATTCACTTGTTGAAATTTGTAGCAATTTACAAGTCGAAGTTAAGCCGAGATTATTCCTTAACGCTTGTTGAAATTTGTAAGCAATTTACAAGTTGGAATTAAGCTGATTCCTTATCTTCACTTGTGAAATTTGTAAGCAATTTACAAGTTGGAGTTAAGCTGATTCCTTATCTTCACTTGTTGAAATTTGTAGCAATTTACAAGTCGAAGTTAAGCCGAGATTATTCTTAATTCACTTGTTGAAATTTGTAGCAATTTACAAGTTGGAATTAAGCTGATTCCTTATCTCACTTGTTGAAATTTGTACAATTTACAAGTTGGAGTTAAGCTGATTCCTTATCTTCACTTGTTGAAATTTGTAGCAATTTACAAGTTAAAGTTAAGCCGAGATGGTTCTTATCTTCACTTGTTGAAATTTAGCAATTTACAAATTGAAGTTAAGCCGAGATGGTTCCTTATCTTCACTTGTTGAAATTGTAGCAATTTACAAGTTGAAGTAAGCCGAGATGGTTCCTTATCTTCACTTGTTGAAATTTGTAGCAATTTACAAGTTAAGTTAAGCCAAGATTACTGTTTCTCTTCACTTGTTTAAATTCGTAGCAATTTACGAGTTGAAGCAAAACCGAGGTTATTGCTAAACACTTGTAGCAATCTACAGGTTGGTTAACAAAGAAGATGCTTAACACTTGTTGAAATTTGTAGCAATTTACAAGATAACGTTAAGCCGACATATGATCATCTGTTGAAATTTGCAGCAATTTACAGGTTGAGGAAAGAGCTAAGTATATTAAACACTTGTTGAAATTTGTAGCAATTTACAAATAGATTATTGTTTAA